CACCCACTAAATTCTGTACAGATGCGTCTGATGCTTGTGCTGTTCCTGTCTTCAATGGCAGAGAGTTTTTTTGCTATATTTGCTGTGATATGTTGATAAAAATTAGTTTTAATATATTTTTAAGCAAGAAAGTCCACCTCAAAACATTGTCTGTGCAGTCATTTCCTCAAGATTACGATCCTGCCTTAAAATATTTTTTCGCGTCAGAGCCGTGCGAATCCCTGCATACCGGCAGTGCGCTGTCATTTAGAATCCCCAGCAGCAGTTGCCTCAGACTAGGTTGCCTCTTGGGGATTTTCCCCCACTGTTTGTAGTGACTGGATGTAGATTTTAAAATTGTTCAGGTATGTGGTACAAACTGCTGGCACCAGGATGATAAAACTGAACATATTGCTGGCAGGTTTTGACATTTTAAGTGAATTTGAAGTTAATAAACTGTTCATAGGAGTGATCATAGCGAATGTGGCATTAGAGCCACCAGGGACTATAGTCAACTGTTTGCTGGGGGCCATGCTGGCAGTAATGACACCTGATTACGCCGATCGGAGGTCACTAAAATTAGTCTTGCTCTGGTGTGTAGTTTTGCCAAAATAATGCCGCACTCTCTGTTCCCCAGCCTGATCTGACCAGAGACCATGTTTAGCCGCATGTCATCATTCAACCACAGGTTGTCTAGGTGGTGTCCTGATTTGGGCTACATTCAAAAATTGTTTTACGGGAGAACCTGGTCTTATTTAAATGGATGGTATCCATTCCACTTCGTATGAAAGTATGAAATTAAATGTGGTTAATTTAACATCACATCTCTTTCTTCAAAAATTCAGTTTAATGACTTGATTTGTAATGATCAATCATTTATGTTGTCTTACAGAAACGTGCCTGCAGCAAGAGGATTACTGTATGTAAGTATAAATGAGGCAATACCCTCTAGTAAATAAAATTTTCACATACCCAGAAATTCTTGGGGAGGAGGAGTGGCAAGAATTGTTCAGTCAGACTTACTGATTACACCAAAACCTAATTGATTATTACAATGTTTTTAAAAATGTAACCTTTTGTTTCCCTCATCCAAATTGCAACACAACCTCTTCTTTTTGTAACTTTGTATAGTCCTCCAGGTCCTTACTCTGAATTGTTAGATTGATGGATCAATAGACATCCATGCTGACATTGAAAGTGATACCTTAGGTATAGTTTTAAATGCTATCTTATATGTTATTGGCTTTGTTTAAAATGTGAGTATTCCCACACATTCTCATCTTCATACTTTGGACCTTGTGCTGGCATATGACATTGAAAGTGAAGAAATAGCAGTATTTCCTCACAACCTTGTCCTCTCTGTCCATTTTTTTATAACTTTCAGAATTACTTTAACACAGTTCTCATCCCCCAAACGAAGGTTTCTCTTTAGCAGATCATTATCAGATAATGCAGCTATTATTTTAAATAATCTATTTTACTATCTCTTCTGCTGCAGAGGGCAAAAGTTTAGTTTATTCCCCTTCACAGGTTGATGGTTATGTTGATAGGGTTTTTAGTTCTCTGTGTACTGACTTAGACAATGTAGCCCCTATGAAAAAGAAAAATAGAAAGCTGGCTCCCTGGTTTGATGCAGAGCTGCGAAACTTTGAACCAAAATGCTAGGAAACTCTACATCTCTATACAGGAATCCTACCCAGTCAGGAAAAAATGTTTACTGCTGTATAAGACAATCTTTTGTAATGCAAAAGCAGCATATTTCTCCTTATTAATAGAGGAGAATAAAAAATAATCCTAGATTTCTTTTTGATACAGTTGCAAACTCACCCAGACATCCCATTGCTCTCATATAAGAGCTCTTAACACCTGCTATATATATATATGACTTACTGCTCTTCATCCATTATTACTGAGAAACAGCCATGTTCTCTAAGGGAGATCTGTATTTGGACATCTACCAACTGCTACACCCTAATCAGACTGGAATTAATTTAGAGAATGATGTGAGGCCCCCTGAGACATTCAGGCATTTTCTTCCAAGAGAGAAAGCTATGATGTGACTTTTCCTCTAAAGAGGACATGTCATAAGAAATAAATCTAAGCTTTCATGTTTGATATCTGTGAGCAGCTTGATTCTCCACAAGCAGTCTTTTATCTCTGAGGTGTTCCTTTTCTTCATACTCAAATCTGTGCCTGTTTGTCACACAAACTAGTTTAAATCTGGCTGAAATTTATAGTTAAACACGTATCTGTGTCTGAGGGTGAAAGGGATATTTGTCAAGACCCAATACAATCTTTTGTTCAGCTGTATGAGGCTGGCTGCCCCACATCTGCTCACATCCTGCTCATAAGCTGGAGATTTTAGCATTGTCTCCAGTGAATACCAGACAGGATATTAAATGAGGTATTTGAGAGAGTGTCTGGGATGTCTGCATGCAGTCTGCTGCTGTGAACTGGGCAAATAAAATCCCTTCCTCTACAATATAACAAGATGGATATAACTGCCACTCCTGTCTTGTGATTTCCTCAAGCGAAAGCCCTTGCTTGTTATGAAGCACCTGATATTTAAAATAAATCTCCATTAAAAAAAATATTTTTTTTTAGATGATCTGGCTTTTAGTTTACTTAATTTTATCAATAACAATGGAAAATTAAAGTAGGGTTTTTATTTCGTTTTATTATTGTTTTTTCTTTTTTTGTTGTTTATGAAAATCTGCCATGGATTCTCCTTTTGTCATGATCTCAGCACTGATGCCTGGTTTGATTATTCATTCCACACACCTGCTTCGCTTAGTTGTCACTATCTGCTCATCTGATTCACATGGATTACCAGCCTACAGACCAGTCATCAGTGCCAGATTCTTTCAAGCTGTTGGTGAGATTTATTCTAGCGTTGGCTGCCAGCCAGCTGGAACCATCCTCTACCTCTGAACTCAGACTGAACTATAAGACCAGGTTAGTGACTCACATGTTTGTGATCATCCACTTCCAGAAAGACAGGGTCAGTAACCCGCTGTGTCCACCCGGAGAGGTTCCTGCCTTATACACCGACGTCATCCACCCCAATTCTGTTCTCAATAAAACTTCTGGGAAATCTGTTTTTCTGCCTTGAATACCGGATCCTTCAGTTCTGAGCGTGATATATTTGGGTTTTAGTCTGGCCTTTGATTTTGCCATTGGATCTGCTCCAATCTAAACCATCCAGGATGTCTGTCCTGCTGGAAGGTTAACATCCATATCAGGCTCAGGTCTCACAGGTTTACTTCCAGTATTTTCCCCATATTTTGCCATCAGATTCTCATCAACTCTGACCAGTTTTCTTTCCCCACATAAGCAGAGAATCAACACATCATGTTCCAGACACCCAGTAGTTCACTGCTGGCATGGTGTATTCTGGGTGATAAGCATCACTTTTCCTGCTCACATAGTGTTTTGCATGCAAAGTGCTTTATATGATTGCAGCACCTTTTGCTGTCTCACAAACTTGGCTTTCTAATTTCCAGGGTGCTGAATAAAAAAAAAAAATGAACAATCACATCATCAAACCAACCCGTCACAAAAATGAAGGTAATATGTTAACGTAGGAATAAGAAGAGGACCACACCTCTAATTACCCAGAAGTCTACTTTTACTCAACTTACCTTTCACTTTCTCTCAAGCCCCGCCCTCCCTTACCTTCAACCAATTCTCACCTCTCTTACCCTCTTCTCTTCACTGGTAGTTTTATCCTGGTGGTCTAAGTTCCTGAAGTTTCCTCCTTTTAAGTCTTCAAGCAAGATGACTTCCCAGTTATCCCCCCCGAAATGAACCTCACTTAAACAGTTATTGATGAAAAGTCTATGAACCAGACATTAGTTTAAGGTAAAAAAAAAAAAAAAAAAGTGGTTCTCTTTGATGTTTTATCGAAATATGGCACATAATGACTCGCAATCTCTATTTTCTAGGGATGGAACATTTTCAATCTTTGTTCTCATTGACCTTTACAGGTTATTCTAAAATATGTTTACTCAACTTAACCCCTTTAGAGTTGGCAATATAAAATAATTGTTAGCTACAGCACGTTCCATTAAAAAGACTGTAGCAACATAGGACTTAATGTTGGTAGCAACTGGATATTAAGGTGGCCTAAGTTAATGACGGGTCCTCTGAAAATCTTTATTACCATAACAGAGGAGAAACTTCTGCATGAACATGTTCTCTTGACTGAATTATTCACGCTCCCCTTCATCTGGAAAAAATCCCTGCCCTCTCCGACTGTCACTACATTCCCTCATTCTGCTCTCGCTTTTCTCTGGCCCCCACCCCCACTTTGGTGACATGAGCCCCGCTCCTGTAAAACTAATAATGACTGAGATTTGTACGGGCTTAGCATTCTTTCCCTCATTTCAGAGCAGTGCAAAGAGAATGGAACGTAGAAAGGCAATAAAAAAACCTTGAGAAAAGAGGTGTTGGAGTGGTGGTTGGGGCAATAGAGGAAAGGCTGTCCTAGTTTTTAAGTAGCCACGTCTTGGTAGATAAGTGAGAAGTAAAACCCAGTGAGAAAACATGAAGAAAAGTGACAAGAGGCCCCTTTCTCTCAGACACAGCACATACCTTCATTTTGCACGGGTCATTGCCACTAAGCTCCCCCTCCCTGCTGCATCCTCTTTAAACATGTTGCACAACTGCTTTTACCATACTAGCATACATGTTTTCTTATAAATACAAGTATTTCTATGCTTACAACCCCCACAGCCATGTCAGTGCTGCATGTTATGCTGTTTAATGGTAAAACTTTAAAACTTGCTCTAAGAGAACACAAAATGTTTTGAAACCTCCTCTTTTCATACCCCTAACTCTCTCTCCTTAGAAACACTTTGTAGACATCAACAAGGTCCAACATGTCCAGACTGCCCAACTCTCACCCTTTTTTAGACAAAGATCACCAGATGTGCCTCAAGATGCAACATGAGGGCAAGGGGGAGGTCTCAGAGACACTGCCCATTGGAACGCTCCCCTCCTGCTTTTACCTCCCCTCCTGTGTGCACTCTCTGCTAACAGACAGCTCCAACTCTCAGCGGTGGATGTAAAGACAGCTGCTGTTTTCTCCCTTCCCCTTCTTTTGAGCTCTGTCCTTTCATTTCTTTTCAACACTACTTCTTTTCATCTGTGTGTACTTTCCCCTTTCTTTTCCCTGCTCTGTAATTCTGCTAGTCTGCACTCTACACCGGATACCAAGGCAGGTCCTGCTAGACGGAGAGGGCTTGTGTAATCTCTGTCACCACATGAGAACCCAAGATTCTTTACTTCAGCTGGAAAAAGGGACAACCAGAGAGGACGGATAAAAACTTTGGATTAGGAGGAGAAAAGGAGTAAATGCGTGAAAAGAAATAGGAGGAAGAAAACTTCAAGAGCAAGTGTGATGCAGGACAGGACCATGCATGGCTTTTTGGTGCTGCTGCTGTCTCTGCTAGTCCTGTCCAAAGGCAGTGATGCCAGAAGAATAAGGAAAAGAGGACTTAACCATAAGGTAAGAGAGTTTTCTCGCTTTTAGCATCTATGTTCAGAAACGTCACGAGTGTGTGGATTACATCAGGGCTGCTCACTAGGGGAAAGCTCAGAGGGCCACCAGACACTGCCAGCTCTGTTACAAAAATGCTTCACACTGAGATGAAGGTGAAAGGTGGTGAAGCTGACCTGAGACCTGATGTTAAAACCAAAAAACAACCACAAGTATACATTGTTTTTTTTTTTGTTTTTTTTTTTGTTTTTTAGAATGGAAATAGGGTTTTAGAAATTAGTTTTGTTTAGCTGTACTCTTTCCATCTCAGGGTCTGGAGAGGAAAAAAGAAAGTGTAGTAGTTTTCCCGTCAAATGATTGTCTCACCTGAGCTGCAGCTCCTCCAGAATTACCACAAGCATTTGGACTGCCTCTCTTTATAACCAGCCTTAGTTGAAATATAAACTGAATTAGGAATTTCAGGTGATGATTTAAATGGAGCTTTCAAAGCATTCAAAGCTTTGGAGATTGTTTTATAACCTGACCCTAACCAGAACTCCCTGTTGTAATCCTTGGTAACAAACAGTTAGGAGCCAGAGCCAGATTACTACTCTTCTGAAGACCAACAGGCATTATGGAGACCAAAGTCATGTCTTAATGTAGTGGTCCCCCATTTTTTGTGTTGGTGTTCAGTTAAATGGTATGGTGTGAGTTCAATTTCATAAATGTCAGGGCTAGGCATAACAAATCATATAAATGAATGCCAGTCAATGTAAAGTCCTAATATGGGTAGAGATACAAACTTACGGCGGGGGGCTGTGTATGGAGGATTAGTGGAGCAGGACCTAAACTTGCCAACCAGGCCCCCACCTGTGTGTTAAGTTCAGTGTGTCATCCCTAATAAGCTCACTGCAACATACTTCCTTTTTGCTCTTCCTTTCTTCTTTTCTATGAAACCTTGTATTCCCCAATGGTCTCACTTTCTGACTTGCTTTTGCCCTCACTGGCCCAGAAAACAGAAAATTCTCCAATTCATTATCTGAACTCTGCTCATATTCCTCCCCCAATCCCCCATTTCATTTTCTCCTCTCAGATGTTCTTCTTTTCCCCTGCTGCTTTCAGAATGCACCAAACGTCTTGCTGGCCTCTTCTTCCAGAGAGCTGTAATTGGAACATGCTGAGAGGGATATGGATGAGAAGTTCAGCTTTGTACTTTAAATTGTTTTAGCTCTGATGTTCCAATATTTTTCTATCCATATTTCAATCCTTGGTGTCATTAATGAAAATCAAGTTTGTGCAGAAATACAAATGATAAAGTATTTGTCATTCAGTTCAATTTAATTCCACAAATTAAATGTGTGCTTTGATGAAATCATCTATTGCAGCACATTAAAGTCACCAGCAGGTCCAGACTAATTTCCACCCAATTTATATGAACAGAACTCTTAAAAGATATAATTTTTCATTCCCATATTAAATTCAATTTTTTAAGATAATTTGTTTACAATTTAGGTTGAAGAGATTATTATATGTTATATTGTTCATAATTAAAATTTAAAATTTTCATCTCAATATTAAATCTGTTTGGTGAAAATTTTACTCAGATCTACACCAAAAATGATACTTCTGTTCTGTTGTAAGTATGTCTCAAACAGCTGTTCAAGATACCTAGAAGCATTTTTGAAATAAATCAAACATTTTTCTTAGACTTAGACAAACTTTATTGTCATAATGTAGAGTGCATATAAAGCATTGCATACAGCTTACAACAGTAATTGTGCAGCTTGCAACAGTGAAATGAACAAAACCAGTTATAAAATGCAGCAGTGATCAGAATGTAAACAGTCTAGGAGAAAAGGAAAGGTTCAGTATGGTGCAAAATGCAGCACCAGCTTTCATCACAAGTTTTGACCTCAAACATGATTTCTTTACTCTTATGTGTTCAAATATGTTTTCTAAAGCATTTCAGGTGCAGGGGGATACAGGCACTAATCAGTTTAGCGCAGATCAGATTCAAGTTCAGGGTTTCTTACTTGTTGTAATGTAGGTGTGGCCATCCTTTTTTTCATTTAACAGGTAAAGTTTACCTGTTAAATGAAGCTACAGAAATGTTAGTCTCATTTGATCAAACACACAGGGCCTGTTTATGATGAAATTTTTTAAGCGCTTATATCAAAGCCAAGAGCAAAAACTAAAGATTAAAATAGGTTTTAAACAAAGGCAAACGGAAACGCTTTACATGCACAGACTCCAACAAACAGATGTAACGTGACAGTTATATATATAGTGTGGCTTAGAGATGTGTTGGGGCATGCCACGGCAGAAAGAACATGTCTGGTACCACCAACATAGATCGTTACCATTTTTTACATGGGATTTTGAAGCTGAGCATCAGACACCACCTGTTCTGAACTCAGGTGGCCTGCCAATGCATAGAAACAGTTGTGCTTCCCTCTCTTTGTCTGAGTAGCTTTGAGTCTTGGCCTTAGGCTAACAACACAGGCAGAGAGGACTGCTGATACCATTTTTGCAGAATGAAATCTTCCAGAGCTATCTGGCCAACCAGGTTTTTATTTCATCAGATGCTATCGGGTGATAAATCAACAATCAGGAGGATGTTCCTGTTTTTTTTCGCTATCTCAGCTGGTGGTGCTTCTTTAATATGATTACTAAAACCTGAAGGGGGTAGAAAGTAACAGACAAATTCTATGAAATTATAATTTCATTGCTAAGCTGCTGCTCGTTTACTGTGTGAAAGCTGTACAAAATTTTGTTTTGTATACACTAGGTGTATACAAAATTACAATAAAAGTTGTGTAAGTCTGAGTCTAATTCAAAACATGTTTGGAAGATCCTAATATCTTAGAATATTCTGAGCTTCAGGGTGATTTATCTCTGTACCAACCATATGGCCTGCAGCTGAGGAAGCGAGTTGTGAATTAGATGGATTCAGTGGAGAGGGAAGATACAAAGAAACTGGTCTCAGTATGTTTGAGGGATTCTATGAAAAAAATGTTGGGCTTTCTGAACTTTCATCATGAAATGATGCCTGATTGGTTTTAGAGTAATGGAAGAGGATTAGAGGTTTCCAACTAGGTGAGTAACAAGGTAAAGTGAGACTTTACAAACTACAATGCATCGCTATAAC